GCCCCATCTCTGGAAACATACAAACTCAAGCAGGAGGGGCTCTGAGCGACATATCTAGATGTAGGCCCATCTTTCCAAAAGCTCTGAAAGCCCAAAGCTTACATTTGCTCTGGTGTACACTTACTTATCTTTACTTCAGTTAAAAGAAAAAAGTTAAAAATAAAAAATTTTAAAAAAAATTAATGCTGTGTAACGACATTTTTCAGCATTCTATAAACCTACTCTTTATGAATCTACAGCTAGACTATAAAAATCTACCCGAGTTTAAGGATAAACGCACATTATCTAAACAAAGAACAGAGATTTCTCCCCTTGTTTAGTTAATTCACTGTTATAAAATTTAGAGTACTGTAATGCATCCAGGAAAAAAAAAAAAAAAAAAAAAAAAAAGTCTGTTTTCCTCCTCAAAGTCATCTGTGCCTGCAAGAGCCAGAAGTTGACTCTTCCATTTTTACATCCTTTCTGTCAATACTGCACGCTACAGATGCGACCATTTCTCTCCAAAAAGAAGTGAATGGAATTATGTCATAAGCCTATCAACTCTGTTTTCCAGAGGGGCAATAAGAATGACATAAGGCAGACATCCAGGTGTGGCGAGTGTTTTCTGAGCTTGCCTGGGGGACCTGATTCCAGGCTCAATTAGGTTTGTCAATTAGGCTTGTTCTGCAGTGGTGTAATACCACTCCTTGCAGGTCACTTGTTTGACACTCAGGAAATATATTCAGAAACAGATCCCTATGGGAAGCAGCCTGGACATGAAATTGAGCTTTGGGTATGGAAGGATACTCACAAAGTTAGCAAGTCAAACATATGTGTTTACTATAGTTTTCCCAGAGTTTCACTACTGAAACAATCTTTTCAGTGAAGCGGAGAACTTCATGTTCACACAAATCTTTCAAAGATATTGAGATACCACATTAAAGAGCATCACAAAGAAAGTAATGGTGTAGAACTCAGCAAATGAAATATGTCTTAAAACCTAGCTTTTTCAGTAGTCTGATTTACTCTTTAAGTGAATTCACAGCAGGATGGAGGCCGTTTGGGACAGACCATTTTAAAAAGCCTGTTTCTGTTTCAGCAGCCTACACTGTGTGTTTGCCACATGAACAGCCACAATTCTGTCAGTTTGGCAGCTGACATTAGAGGTTCAATCTCTATATTAGTATGAACTGCTCAAGATATCATTCTGAATTTATGGCATGAGTGAAAAAAAAAAAAAGATGAAAGATACCTACTAAATAAATGATGCAGCAGATTCAAGTGTATAACAAGAGGTTTCAAGGAATTTTGCATTACCAGGTTGCATATTAGCACACTTACAGCTGAAAACATGCATCTCAATATTAAAACACCATCCAAATTACCTACTGTAAGAACATAACAGCTTTCAGTTATACTTTTCTTGGGAAGTTTCCTCAATGCAGAACAATTTCTAGTGCGAAGACAACCAAGGCCCACAACAGGGAAAACCAACAGATTAAGGAATTCACCTCTGAGACTATTCCTCAAACCTTTGTAGTTTCTTTCAAAGCAAAATATCTCCAAGAAGAAATGTTAAAGGAGTAACAAACCTTGGCGATGCAGGTATACACCAAAGCTAAACCTCGTTTCCTAATTTCTCACAAGTCAACAAAAGTATTTTCATTGGATGATCACACCAGAATATCACTCAGCCATTCTCTGTTGTTTTCTTCTTCTTTTTTAAAGAAGCAAAACAAAAGCACTCTAAAAACTTTAATACCAACTAAGAGCAGGCTATCCATAAGTAATACAGGATGGGAAACCCTCTTCCTGCTCATCTTACTCTGTACATTTCTCAATCAATATTCTTAATACATTATAGGCTGTGGTAAAGGCAGAAAAAGTAAAATCTCAGGAATGCAGAGATAAATATAGGAGAAGCTTGACAGTGCCCATTTAAATCTAACTAAACATTTTAATTTTTGGAGTTGTACTTGCTGTACGTATACATATATATATGATCTATATTGCTAGATTCTTTTAAGCCTGACATTGAGATGAGCATGGCATTCCCAGTTTCACATCTTCCAGCAAATTAGATCTGGGAAGATAAACTAAGAATGCCTTACATTTCAACTTCACAATGGTAAACACTAAGGGCAACATCCTGCAGAGAGACACAAGGAAATATCTGAGACATCAGAAGCACTGAAACCACATTACATCACATCCCGCTGTTAGAGAATGCCAGGAGACTTGTTAGAAGGAGAAGTAGCATGACCCAAAATTCATCCCTGGGTTAAAGGACTGCAGAAAAACACACAGGAAGCCACACAGCTCATCAAGTTAATCTCCTCAGTGTCAACAGCTTCCTTACCTCCGCTCCTCCTATGCAGCACCACAACAGCACTCCCCCAGGCACCTCTTCCTCAGCCCCTTGCTCCCAGGGCTCTCAAGGTGCTGGCTTCACTGCTGACACTCAAGCGTGGGTTTATTGCAAAACAGCTGCTATTTTTTTTGTTGCTTTTTTTTTTTTTTTTCTAATGCAGCTGAGAACATCAGTTCCAGAAAAAAATTCTTAACCCTACTGTGCATCCATCAGACTCCTGTTATCTAAGGATTTCAGTTTTCATCAAGCTGGAAACAGCTAGATAATGTACTTGTAAGCCTCTATAGTATTCTGCATTACACTCTGCTTCTGGGGATTTAACTTGCAGAAAGCAGTATGATTGTAGGCAGGCCAGCCAAAATGAGCCCTTTTCCACTAAGTGTTAAAATGCACACCGAATACTGAAAAACAATTACAAAACATACTTATAAATAACGTGTTAGAGACTGCCACTTTCCATTTCTGGTAGGTTTCTCCAGCTCTTCCACAAAAGGAAAAAACAGAGAAAAGAGGAGCCTAACAAAAGAAGCCTGATCCAAGAGAGTTGGGACTAAATCTATGAGTAATGACCTATATGGAATTATAGTTGATTTAGACCTGAGGCCTTTTGTGCTGTGCTTGATGCTGCAAAATCATGAACATTGACTTGTGTGGCTCGAGGAATAAGAACTAAGCAGCAAATGCCACAGAGTGGAGAAAATTAGAATGCAATTAACTTCTAAAATAAAGGCAAGTCTGACTTGCATCAGCGTATTTGGGGGCCTAAGTTGTGGCTGGTTTCAAAGGAACAATTTTCAAAGGTCAAATTATGGTAGGTTAGATTATTCCAGCAGGTCTGTAAAATCTGTATGGGACTCTTTGGAGTTTTCAAATCACTTAGTAAAATCTTTACTGAGTTTGGGTGTTTCTCCCCTGGTGCCAAGTTGCTGAACTTCACTTCTAGCTGAGGCCTCGCTATTGTCAGCATGAACAGTTCAAAAAGAACAACGTAAGTGACTTCTGGCAGCCCAGCATCCATCCCAGGGGGTCAGATCAGACCTGGCTGAGCCAAGGAATGCTCCTAACCGAGGCTGAGCAGGAGAAGTCTTTGGAAACACTCTTGGAGAATCGGTTTCATCGATAAACTTTCTCATCTTTATTAAAACGATAGGTCCGTGGCACAAATGTAACGTGCAGCACTAAGTGATGTACATTTTCATCTCTGAAGAACAACCATATCCTAAATATATAAATATATATATATATATATATATATGGATGGGCTGTTCATTAAATATAGAACCTCACAGCAATTGCTTTTAAGACCAATGGGAATGGTATCCAGCTAACACCTGGTGAACCCAGGTGTCTCTCATTGTGGTAATATTCAAACACATCATGAAGCAGCAGCAAGCACCTTCCATGAAATACTTCAACGGGCCAAACTTCCCAAACACGTGCCTTTTTCTCTAAGCAAAACAGTGATGGCAGGGAATTGGCAACACTAATTGTGCTCCACAGATTTTTACCATCATCCTTCTCTCATGCATAAGCATAAAATGCTGTCACATATTGCAATTTCTAATTACTTCCACTGTGCAGCAAGAAGTATGGAAAAAAAAACACCCTTGCAGGAAGAACAAATACACTTCTTGTTAAATAAAATGATGCCTACGAATCTTCCTGGAAGAACCAGGGACCAAGAGAAAAAAAAAAAAGAAAGAGATCCCAGCTTAATTATAACCAGCTACGCTTGTTTGCGAGCACTAATTGGAAGAAAACAACGTTTTGTTTGCAGTCGCTTCTACTTCTTTTGAACTGGGGCATTCCTCAGCTGCAGGCACGGAAGACCTAACAATTCACACTTTCGGAACGAACTATTTTTGCGATTAGGAAAACACAACGTCTGCATAGTTGGCATATACGTTCACCACATTCTCCTCAAGAAATGAAACAAAACCACACTGACACGGCGCACGCAACCTTTGGCTGAACCAGTCTTCAGCATACAAAGTAACTAATTAATGCAAAGGAGATCGCTGGAAAACTTCGGCGCTTATTTAACGATGGAGCTGGGGACGACCACCGCGTTTCGAGAAAACGTATCGACGAGAGACAAAAGCGAAGCGGTTCTTCAGGTCAGCAAGAAGAACCAACCACCGTACCTGGCAGAAAGGAAGCTGACGTCTTAAACCAGCACACGTTCATCACAGGACTCCCCGGCGGCGCACGGATGCTCCTTCGCTCTCCCACCGGTGCGCACGGACGGGGCTACGCGCCCCGCCCGACCCCGATGTCAGTATTCATCACCGGAACGGCCGGCGCCCAGAACCCGCCCCGTGCCCGCCCCCACGAGCAGAGAGCCGGGCCGGGACAGACAGGTTGCTGTGCAGGAGAGCGAGAAGGGGCCGCTCCGGGGGTGGCAACGGGCGGAGCGGTCCGTCGCCCTTTGGGTGCCCAGCCGCTCTCGGTGCGGTGCGGAGAGCCTCCGTGCCCCACCAAGCGCCCCGCGCAACTTCCGCGGTGCCCGGCCGGCAACGCGGGTCCTGGCCTGCCCGCTCCCCCGGGGAGGAGCAGGTGAGGCCCCTCGGCGGGCGGAGGAGTGAAGCCGGGACAAAGTCACCATCTGGGGAGGGGGTGGGGAGAAGCGCCGGGCGGGGAAGTCACTTACCGGCTTTGCAGGGATCCTTATAATCTATCGCCTCGGCTTTATCCTCTTCGGTGAAATCGTAAGTGTAGTCATAATCGAGGGCAGAGCAGGAGGACGGCTTCCAACAGACAGCCCAGGCGGCCAGCCACAGCGCCAGCCGCCAGCAGAGCATTTTCATCCTCCCTCGGGCGGAGAGGCAGTGCGCGGAGCGCGGCGGAGTTAGGCGGGCGGCACCGCCGGGTTGAGAAAGGAGGATAAGGGATGGAGGAACCGCAAGTTTGGAGTTGGCTGGGGCTCCGTTTGTTTGTTTCCTTCAGCACCTAGAGCCGCCGCTCCCTAGGTAGCCCCAAGGCAGCATGAGCTCCGCCGCCCCTCCTACCCGCACCCCGCCGGGCGTGTGGGTGGCTGGGCGCGGGGGTGGGCTCAGGCCGAGAGGTGCCGGTTCTCGGGGCGTCCCTCAGCCTTCGGCGCAGCCCGGGCAAACTTTCCGCCCCGGCGGCGGTCGCTGCCCGCGCCCCGCTCCGCACCCGGTCCGCGCCCCGCCGCGCCGCCGCCCCCGGTCCCGCTGTTGCCGCCGCCGCCGCCGCTGCTGCTGCTGCCGGAAGATGGATCCGGGCTGTACATCAGCGAACTGCCGCGGGGAAGAGGGAAGGAGAGAAAAGAAAGAAGGACGGACGGGAAGAAAAGGGAGCGGGGGTGGGGGGGGGTCTGCTCCGGCAAAGCGCGCAGCCCGAGCGATGGGAGGCGGCAGAGCCAAGTGTCAGGGCCTCCCCCGCCGCGCTCCTACTCTGCGATCTGTCTCTGGTCTAGCCTCCTCCCCCCCCCCCCCCCTCCTCTGTCCCCCTTTAACTTACGACAACCTTACAGGCAACTAACGCACATTGTCAGCATCCTGCTTACTTATTCATACAGTCAGGGTCAGGATCCGGGCTGCTGCCGATCCGCTCCCCCGATAGTCCTACAGCAACACGCGCGTTCACCGGCCGCCCCTATCTCCGGAGTGCTCTCTCTCTAGATAAGCGGTGAGCGGCATTTAGGCAACAACAAAAGAAGCCAGATCAAATCAAACAACGCGCGGCTCGGCTCCCGGCATCCAGAAAGCAGGAGGACAGAGAGAACGAGGTGATGGAGGAGGAGAAGAGGGATCAGCTGCGATGGAGGGGATGGGGAAGCAGCGCGGTGCTGGTGTGCTGCTCTCCGTGCCGGCGGCTCCGCAGCGTGAGCCCCATGGGCGGGCGGGGGGTGAAGGAGCGAGGGGGAGGGGGAGAAGAGAAAAGTTTAAGCGCCCATAGTTTGCTTAAAACAGAGGAAGGCGATTTAAAGGTCCATCGCTCTGCAGAAGTTCAGCCAAGCAGTTGGGATCCGGCTCCAAAATGAAAGTAGGACCAAACAAACAAACAAGCAGAAGGAAGAAAAAAAAAAAAAAAAAAAAAAAAAAAAAAAGTTAATCTGAGATCTCTCAGCCGGGTTTTCCTGTCCTCACGTGGATCGCCGGGAAAGCGGTGGAGGTTTCTCTCCCGAACGAAGTTTCCGCGCAGCTCCGCACCGTCCCGCTGAGCGCCCCGAGCCGCGCGGGGCTGGCGCCTCTTTAAAGCCCGAGGAGGGATCAGCGCGCAAAGCCGCCTTCAGCCGATCAACCTGGGGAGGGAGGGAGCGAGGGAGGGAGGGAGAGAGGGAGGGGGAGGGCGGAGGGTGGAGATACACTGCTGCTGCTGGAATAAAATAAGATCGAGCGAGAGAAAAAAAAAAAAAAGTGTGTGCGGTAGCTAAAGAGCTCCCTGTCTCCTCCCCTCCCCCGAGATGGGCAGCTCCGATCCTGCAGAACCGCCTGAAACGGTTTCAGACCAAGGTGAGACTTTTGCGTAGCAAACTCTACTCTTCCTCCCCCTTTTTACGAGTTTCCATGGAAAAGAGCGGGATGAGTGATGGGGGGGTTGAGGGGAGTTCCTGCGGCTCCCGCTCCGCCGTGGTGTCACATTTAGCACGGGCTTTTGAAAGGGCTGCCGCGAAGCACTGCCTGCTCCTCTTCCCGCAAATACCGTTTCCCGATCGCCTTTTCCCTGTCGCCGGAGTGGAAATCCAGAGGTCGTTCCTTCCCCCGGGCTGTGCCAGGAGCGTCGCTTCGGAAGCGGCCCCTCCCCTCAACGGGGAGCTCGTGGCGAGTGGGTGCAGAGTGCTGTCACCTCTCTGTGGGCTGAGCTGCTGCAAAGGAAGAAGGATTTTAAGGGAACAGACTGGAAGGAGCAGTCCTTGAGAGCGGCCCTGCAGAGAGGGACCTGGGGGGTCTTGATAGATGAAAAGCTTAACATGAGCCAGCAGTGCCAGCAGCGCTTGCAGCTCAGAAAGCAAATGGGATCCTGGGCTCCATCAGAAAAGGGGTGGCCAGTAGGGACAGGGAGGTGATTGTCCCTCTCTATTCTGCCCTTGTGAGGCCTCATCTGTGGTACTTTGTCCAGGTCTGGAGCCCCAAGTACAAGAAAGACAGGGAGCTGTTGGAGAGGGTTGCAGAGGAGGGCCACAAAGATGATCAGAGGGCTGGAGCATCTACGAGGAAAGGTTGAGGGAGCTGGGCTCGTTCAGCCTGGAGAAAAGAAGGCTGCGGGGTGACCTCAAGGGTACCTAAAGTGAACCTAAAGGGTACCTCAAGTACCTAAAGGGAACCTACAAACAGGATGGGAAACAACTCTTTGAAAGGGTAGATAACAGCAGGACAAGGGGAAATGGTTTGAAGTTGAGGGAAGGAAGATTCAGGTTGGATGTTAGGGGGAAGTTCTTTACAGAGAGAGTGGTGAGGTGCTGGAACAGCTGCCCAGAGAGGCTGTGGATGCCCCGTCCATCCCTGGAGGTGTTCAAGGCCAGGTTGGATGGGGCCCTGGGCAGCCTGGGCTGGTATTAAACGTGGAAGTTGGTGGCCCTGCGTGTGGCAGGGGGTTGGAGCTTCACGATCCTTGAGGTCCCTTCCAACCCTGACCATTCTGTGACTCTGGGAAGGGAAGACCCCTTTTTCCACCCTGCCATCCCCAGGGCTGCCTGGCTGTAGGTAGATGCTGCCACAGCTGTTGGCGCAGGGGTGGCTAAGACAGAACTAATGACAGCTTAATTAATAGAGTGTGATGAAGAGTAGCATCAAGTATGGACAACGTAAGGTAAAACATCCATGCACTGTGCTTCCTTACATTTTAGCATACAGGTTGTGCCTGTGTTCCTCCAAGTCTCATCACATTTCGCCAGAGCAGAAAGCCAAAGGCCAAGCGGCTGCCACCAACAGCGTGGCCACTGCCTTCAGCATCCAATACCAGTTTTCTGTCCCAGCCATTTGTCACAGGCCCCTGAGCACCACCACATCGGAGAAATGCCTGGAAAACCTGAGACTTTTCCTTTTCCCTCTTCCTCACAGTAGTTTCCACAGGCTCCAAGTCAGCTTCTGGAGGCCTTTTCCACTGTTGCAGAAGAGCAGGTCTGGGTGATGGCCACCTTTGCTTGAACGGTACCAGAAAGTGAGGCCACCTTCTGCTGAAGACACCAGCTCAGACCGATTGGAAATTAAGCTTTTGTTTTTCCCATGCGGACAGATGGGATGTTTTACCCCCAGTGTCACTTATTCGATGCTAATTTCACACACTGGACTTGCCTGCAGTGATCTCGTTGTTCTGCTGGTTTTGTTCAGTATGTGCACCTGTAAAAAATCCATTATCTCTCCCAGGCCCATGCACCTCAATGCAAAAACAGAAACACCCTCAGTCCATCCAGCATCCTCATTAGTCAGCACTGCTGCAGAAACGCTGACTTTTCTGACTGCTCTAAAGAAAGAGAAGGTGTACACAACACAATGTGTGATCTGTGCCCATCTCCCAGCAAGCTGACTACGGGGCTCTGTGCAGCAGGAGATGAGCTCCTGCAGCAAGGTGTGTGCTGGTGTCCCCCAGCCCCAACCTCCAGCACTGCAGAGCCACCAGCAGCATGGGGACAGCTGCCACCACCCAGCCCTGACTCAGGCAGAAGACAACCTCAGAACTACAGATGGGAATCACACAGAGATCTGCACACATTTGTGCTATAACAAATGAGTGTGAGTACCAGTCAGGATAAAAGCTGGTTTCTGCCCTGAATTCGGAGCAGCTACAGCTTCAAACTGCTGTTTAAAATAACCATTGTGTCTCTGCAGAAAATATCCTACACTGCTTAGGTATTAATACTCCCATTTATCACATTTCTCCATATTATTTCTTTTTCCTAGTAACAAAACTAGTTGACATCTTTCGAAAAACAAACTTTCCTTAAGTAACCCGTTAAATATTCCATCTAGCTTTTTTCATGATACAAAATTTTGAAATGGTTTAAGTACAAAATATGTATATTTTTTTTCTTCTCACACGTTCATGTCTACCATTCCAAAAAGCTCACAACTCTGATAATCCATCTGACAACACAGTCAATCAAAAATCCATCCTACAGCCGTTTCCAAAGAAACGAACGCACGGACAGAAAGCCAGAATGCTGAGCTGGAATGCAACCAACAGAAGGAACACAACAGCAACAACAAGGACTCTGAGCATCTTCCCTATTCCTTTAGGTTTCCTGGTTAGGAGAATATCACAGGGACACCGATAATGGTAAATGAAGTTGTGTGATGAGTGGCAGGGATATTTTATTTTGTATCCTGAAAGCTGGAGGCTTTTCTGCTCTTCCCACACAAACAAAGAGATTTCTTTTAAAAAGGACAAATCTGCAAGAAAGACAGACACAACCACAGACCGAAAAAAAAAAAATAAATCCACATCTGAAACACGGTTGCTCACACCTCCTCCTCATTCTTTGGCTATCTGTCTCCTGTTTAGGCCTTGATCCCGTCGACAGTCTGAGGTGGGTGGACACAATAGGCTTATTCACAAGCATCGAGCTCAGCACATGCTGACGGCTGTGAAGGCTGGAGACCATTTCTGCTCCTGGGGCCTGCAGCACTGCTCCAGAGGCTGAGGTGGAGAAGCTCAGAGAGAGCTCGTCGTTACCTTCCTGCTTTTATCTCCTGATAAGCCCATTGCTTTTCCCAACAGTGCCTGTAACACAGGCAAAGCTATGCTGAAGGAGTCCCCAGTTCTCCAAATTATTCATAAGGGAAGATATATACACCGAGTAAATTATATAAACTAAAGCCAAACTTTTGAGGTTAAAAAGCAAGCAGTCATCATCTTAGCAGCAGCAAGCTCACCTGTGAAATCTGTTTTCTCCATTCTCTCTCATATCTACTTATGTATTATGAAACAGTTTTTCACTGTATATCCATATACAACTTTTTTTCTACTGAATTATCAAGAAGCCCTTCAGTGTTATTTTCTGTTGC